TATATATATATATATATATACACACATATATGTGCATATATGTATGTACATGCTTTCGTGTACTTTCCAATGCAATGGTGACGCAAGTTGAATCCGATGGCATCGTACCGCATCGTGCGCTTTGATCGCATCAAAACTACGACGTAACGAAACGAGAATCGAAGGATAGTGGATCAAAAAAGCTATTTAACTAATTATATATACCCGATCGACAGAACGATCATTGAGCAAAATGGATCACGATCGCTCTATGAAATATTGCTCGAATCTTTCAATCGCTGCATGTTAACGTCATATGAATTTCAACGGAAATCGCGTTGAGCGAAAAACGCATCAGAGGATCAATAATGATCTTTGTCAATGCGAGAGCTTTAGAATTGCATGTGCCAAATTATACCACGCGGTTAATCGCGGAAATGTGAGTCACTTGTCAAGCGCCGCTTTACTTCGGTGTTCAAGTATCCAATGTATCAAACGCATTCGCTTTCACCGAGATTGATTATTAACATGGAGTACATATTCATAGGACACCGCGAGCAAATCGTTCAACGTTTTGACACATGTAGAAATAATCCTTCTTTATTTAGCCTTTCTGCAAGTGAAGGAATTAAATGAAGGAATTAATTTGAACGTCATACGGATAAAAATATTTTTTTTTATATTCCTTACGCTATTGTATTAATCGTTATTGTATATTAATATAATACTTATTTCTATCCGCTCAATACCCGCTTTTGAATGATCTATTTTTAATGATACTCGTATTTCGATATTTCGTCATTGCCTTGCAACGTCTTACTTAAAATGCTTTTAAATTCGAAATGATCAATAATGTATACATAATATCGTGCTGGAATACTCGTCAAACGCGAACAACTTTATTGTCCAAGTTCTCGCAGAACGTGAAATAAGAGATAGCTAAATGCGATAATAACTTTAATTATTATCTCGATTACGATCATCCATCGAGCAGCTTGCTTTCCCCGGATTTTTGAACATTCGTTCAATCATATATATATAGTAGTTTTATTTTGCATTTCTTGTCATATGAACAAAAAATTGTCACACGAGAATTTCCGTAGTTTTTGTAAACGACTGAAGTCAATCGGTGGTGAAAGTGTTGTTGAGTGCAGCACAATTTCACGTTCGGGTCCTCGACGGTGAGGTGAATGCCTCGTCGTGAATACGAAGAAATTACGGTGTTACACACGCGCGTATCCACATCTCTGAATTGATCACAATCCATCCTATTAAAGTAGAATCTTTTTCTCAATTGGAAGGCATTGACAAATGGACGTTCTTTTAGCTTGTGTAGACGTATCGTCAAGGCAGGCCTGGTGAGGTGCTGAAGTAAGGATGATGATTTTGATGGGGTTTGCTTTCAAGTAAGACGGAGGTGAAACTGTCAGTTGACAGTTGATCCCTTCTTTGCTGCTGCTTTACGCTGCAGCATCTAGATCTATCATCCATTCTATTCTACAAACGTTCTTTCATGAATTCTATGAGGCATGGTAGCTTTGCTCTTCACCCTTGCATGGCCATGTTGTTGTATAATATTATTTGACGAAGGCAGAGTGTCAGATGTATAACGGAAGCAGAAAGAGAGAGGCCCGATTGCATCGTTATGTGGACAACCTGTAACAGATGCAGACCGACTAATATTGATTTATTTTGAACTGAAGGTTTTGTACGGGATAATGGCATAGCATGGATCAGACGATATCTTGTGATAATGAAAATTATAAGTGTGCATTAATAGTATGATCATTAATCAAAAAGCTATTTTTATTATTTCAGTACCTAATAACAATAATAATGATATAATAATAATAATAATAATAATAATAATAATAATAATAATAATAATAATAATAATAAAGCGACCCTCGTCAAGCGCAACGTTCCTCTAAATCGCGACCAATTTTGAGTCAACTTTTTCTTAAAGGAGAACGGAAATTTATTACAATTTTCTAATTTTTTAAAGTAATATCACCTTGTAACTTCAAATTAAAATTCTATTAAAATGCAGTCTATTTGAAATTAACTTAAGAATATGATTTGCTGTTTATATTTGCAAAACGCTCTCTTTTCACCTTTGATCACATCTTTGTAAAGGAAAGATCGACTTAAAATTGATCAAGGAAAGTACAGTTCAAAGGAAGTATGTTTGACGAGAAACACTTTGTATTAATGATGATAAATTATTAGAGTGATTGAAAGATATAAAATATCTTTATATAATGGGGAAAATATATAAAAGTAGCATAATACATTAGACGTTTAAATACGTGCAATTGTTGTTTCATGTTTACAATCAATCTAAATGACGTTAATTATTATAATTAGACATTTCTCAAGTTCTGCAAAGATGTTTATCAATCGTTTACGAATTAGTTACGAAGCAATAATTATAATTGCTAATAGATGAGGCTAAAATTTATAGAAAACAAATGAGTCATTAATCAAAGCGTTCCATCCGTAAATAATAATACGCATTTTCGTAATTCAACTAATATGAGTTTAACAATAAGTATAATAATATACGGGCACAGAGATCTTTCTTTTTGAAACGATAAATTATCGAATGTATTTGCCAAGTCAAACGAGTATGCAATTGGGCCTGTAAGTTTCATTTAAGCTTCAGCGTGATTTCATTTTATTTCATGGTGTTTATTCGTATCCGAACAGCTATCGGCACGAATTATTAAACACACATAGCAAAATTCTACTCGGAATTGTGGTACAAGTAACATAAACATTTAACTGTTTCTTTTCTCCCTTCTCATTAGTTATAGTAGCTTAGTCAGCAAATCTGTTATCTCAATGTTGCAAATGCTATACGGTACCTAACAGATACATCACAGAGAGACCACGCAGAATGAGATATCTCATTCACGTTTACATATGTAAAGAACACAAAAAAAATGCATTATGGTAAATGGGACAATGTACAATTTCGAGGAGAAATCCATATATCTTCATAAGAAATCGATAATATGTATGTTAGTGTACTCTCAATGTTTACACACACTGTTGTATACGCAACGGCCAATCTGTACGTATGCGCACCTAATACACGCGGAGGGCTTGAGCCAAAAATTGTACCACACAATAACAAAAAAAAAAATATTTCAAGACTGAGAAAATTGAGAAACTAAATTGTACGCACACTACAATGATTTGATGTGGATCTTACGAGAAACGAAGATATCATTTCCTTAGTAGGATACGTGTATATACATATACTTACATAGAGTATATTTTTGTAGAGTTTCTGCGATATCTCGGCACGACATCGCACAAGTGAAACGCGAAAGAAACTTCCGATTCTTTGTTCATTTCGAGGAACTCGAGAATAAACGAGGAATTACATTGCATTTTCGACAATATGATCGCACGAGTGTATGGCACGCGTGTCGGATGTGTCGACTACGAAATGCCAAAAAATGATGCACAAATGATCTTACGCGTTTTCTTCCGTACCTGAACTTTTCTAAATATAACAATGATCTGCCCTATATGGCGTGGAAGCTTTTGGTTTACAATGTTTACATCAACAATCTTACAATTTGCAGAGTAAAGATATTTAGATGTTCTAACATTGCTATATGCTGCATTCCTATAGCAACGTTGTTGCATTCCTGCACAAACGTCGAAGCAACTTTGGATGCTATCCATTTGGTAATACAAGTGTTATTTTGTCTTTGTTACTCTCTGAATATTAAGAAAGATGGAATGATGTTTGTGTCACTAAACGAGAAGCATTCTTGCAACAATGCTATATTCTTGCGTTAACATTGCGTTGCAGCAATATTTTGTGTGTGTGTGTGTGTGTGGTGTGTGTGTGTGTGTGTGTGTAATGTATGTATGTATGTATGTATGTATGTATGTATGTATGTATGTATGTATGTATGTATGTATGTATGTATGTATGTATGTATGTATGTATGTATGTATGTATGATTAACAATATTGCAATTTTTCCGTGATGTTTCCGCAAGCCTTCCATGCTGCATGGGTATGATACGAATCTCTTGTTTGGAGGATCTGTTATTTGCAATCGAGAGCCGCATGCGATATTGTGTGTGCAATTATCCACTCGATGAAATGTTTTTGTTCATCGTTCTTTCTCCGTGCTAGCGTGCGCGTACGTACACGAATCGACGGTATATCTTAATGCGGACGGTAGTTTTTACGATGCTATTTAAATCGCTACTAATTGTTCATGCCGCACATTCTAGACATTTTCGTTTCCAGTGTTAACTTGTTGGTGCTGCTGTTGACGAGGCATTAAGAGCATGGAACTGTTGAGTAGTGCCTCCTAGCACGTTGAGCCCTTAGTGCTCCTGTGCCTTGCTTGCTTGAAACTCTAGCTGCTAGCCCAAGCCTAGGCTAGCTGAGAAGTCGGCCGACAGAAACCAATTCTTTAACGCTTGAGTTAACAAAACGTTTCGAAAAAACGAAAAAAAAAAAATATATATATA